TGCTCCCTTCCGTCCCCGGGTCCCCTGCTCCCCTCCGTCCGCGGGTCCCCTGCTCACCTCCGTCCCCGGGTCCCCTGCTCACCTCCGTCCCCGGGTCCCCTGCGTCCCCGGATCCCCTGCTCCCCTCCAGCCCCGGGGGAGAACGCAGCTAACCCACACGCACGCACGTCTGCTTCCAACAGGAAAAACCTTGCTGGAACTCGTCATCGAGCAGTTTGAAGACTTACTAGTTAGGATTTTATTGCTGGCAGCATGTATCTCTTTTGTAAGTATGAAGCCATTTTTCGACCCTCCCTTAAAAAAAAATAGTACAAACAACACAGAAACGACAGCCCCTAGTTTGGAAGGAAGGGGTTAAAAATTCAGATGACAGTTAAAAGATAATTGGAGATTTATGTATGTGGTTTTAATATTTTAAAAAAAAACAAGTGAAATAATAAATAATTGGAAACCCTAAGTTTCTAAACATTCATTAAAATTAAAAAAATTAAAAATAGCTTTTGAAAACAACAACCTAACTTGAAGCCAGTCATGTTTAGAAAATAAGTGGTTCTCCTGCCAATGGTTATGGTGCAGAAATTGGTCCTAAATGCCCGCCCAGGTCTTTGGAATTCTTCTCGTGTTCAGCTGTTAGTGCCAGAAGCTGGCTTATTCACTGGGAGACCTTGTCTGTCTGTGTTCGATCTCTTTCCATCATCTTTCTGTGACATCACACTAAAATGCATCATGCAAAGATGTGAGGCTCTTTGTAGCCTGTACATAGAATTTACAAAAAGAATATTCTAGGTGCATTTCCTTCCTCGTATTGGCAGGCTGACAGTTGTTCTTGACATTGACAAGAACGGTGACAGCAGTGATGGCACTGCGCTTGACCAAATTTGGTCACTGACCTTTCGGGTCCTGTGCTTAGCCAAATTGGTCCCCTGTCTTGAGTGACTCTTGGGCTTGAGAGAATAAGGGTCAGTACCCTGGGTTTTGAGTCTTCAAAGGAAGCGCAGCCCAGCAAGTGTTTGGCTGTTTGGCGTGGTGTGCTACTTACCGTCCTGCGTGGTTGCTAAGAGACTGGTGAAATGCAAAGAATGGGGTGGAAAGGTTGGAAAAGGGCGATGAGGAAATACTTCTAGGTCAGTCATTTTTTTATATTTACCTTTTTTATTGCCTTTTCCCTTCTGGGGCTGTACATTTTCGGAATAGATTTCCTAAAAACGTTCACGAACAGGACACAGATGTTCCTAATTCCTAAAAGCATGACTTGTCTTTCGTTCTTAAATTAGTTTTTATAAGTTTTTTTTCTTACTAACCTATATTGGGAAGTGAAATTCATTCAGGCAGTGCTTTTTTTTCTTTTTCTTTTTCTTTTTCTTTTTCTTTTTCCTTTTGCTTTTTTTTTCAGGCAGTGACTGAAGGGCCAGGTCTTCTTTTTTGTACGCTTGTAGTTTGCAAGTGTCAGATCAGCCTGTCTTTTTGACAGCTCTCAAAGAGGGCTACTTTTGAGAATGGAAACTGGACCAGGCATTTAATGAGTTCAGGAGAGGAAAAGGATTGCTTTTTTCTTCCTCTTTAAGGAAGCAGTGGCAAAAGGTGAACATCTGGTGCAGTTTTAGGCAAAGTCTGGGGTGAGACTAAGGCCCACAATGTTAATAATTTAGTCTCAATGCAGGGGTCTTCTGTGTAGAGTCCATAGGCTAAAAACTGAGAGGGCCACATGGCAAGCCCATTTAACATCCTGAATCACACCATGCTGCTTGTGTCTGTCTTTGATGTAATTTTTTTTTCTTAAGTGCCACCCTGCTACCTCCTCCAGTAGATTCTGCTTTTCCAATTAAGATAAACGGGTAGACCTATCTGGTTAACTTGGGTTGCACCATATTGCAATGGAGAAAAATAAGTGATACACCTGGGTTAATATTTAAGCTGGCTCCATAGTTAATTCTGAAATCCCCTCAGTTCCATTTGGCCCATAAAAAAATAGTGTCCGATAAGGGTCTAAAAATTCTGTTATTCCTCTGTCGTAAGCTGAAATATTGCTGCAGATGTTGCAATAAGGGAAGCTGGTGGCGGTTGGGGTTGTTTTTAAAATTCTGAAGAAATTGGGAGTTGTTACCCGAGGCATTTGGGTTTGGGGTTTGCTGTAGGAGGTTGGCTTTTGAGGTGTGTTTTGGGGGAGAAATGTGAGTTAACCTGGGAACTAGCCGGAAGGTAGAGCTTAGGAAGTGTGTGGTCGTGGTTACATTTTTATTTTGTGTGTTGTTAGCATTTTCATGTTTGTGCATTGCTAAGTAAGAAATGAAGGTGATGGTTAGGAAGTAGTTTGACTATAGCAGTCACTTCTATTTGGTTTTGTGTGATCACAAAATTGTGAACGTTAAACCTGCTCTGTGGCTTTGCTTCATGTGGAATTGGCAGAACCGCACTGTACTTGACCTTTTCCTTTCTTGTTTCTTTATCTGCCAAAAGAACGCTGCCGAGTCTCTTTGTGGTGGTTTATTCCTGCTAGTTTAACAGGAAAAACATGGTCGAAAAGGCCAACTTTCCTAGAGACGTGAACAGGCCGTTCTTCTAATATATACATGATCCATCATCAGGCCCTGCTGGAGTTCAGAGAGCCATTAGGCCTTAATTCATCTCAGAGTCATCTGTTAACCTTGGTTAATGTTTTGCTGTAGCCAAAATCAGAAACAAGTCATGTTTTAGACTCCTGACCGGGAGGGGTAAAGTTTAGTTAATTTGTAATACTTCACGAGAGGTGGGGGGGTTAACATTAAAAACGGCTTCATGTGACATTTAAGGCTCTCCTCCGCCTTTGCTGTCTGTCCTCACGCGCTCCCAGCTTTGCCCTCACTGCAGAGCCTCACGTTACTGCTGGGCCTTCCCTCTGTCAACTGCATGCTTGTTACTGGTCACAGTGAACAAAGTGGACCAAGTGCCTGGCTTGGGACACAAGAGGAGAGGACAGTCTGCAGTGGAAACTCCAGCAGGGAGGAGAGATGACAAGGTCATAAGAGCTCAGGAAGGTGACCTTCGGGTCAGTGGGCAGGGTCTCCGCCCTCCACACTTGGTCTCCAGCCTGCTGCTTGAGCGCCTCGGGTGGGGAGAGCTTGGGAAGTTCTAGGTTGGAGAACACTTGGGGAGGGTGGAGTGGACCGCATGCTTTCAACTCCTCCAGGACTCCCTTGAAAGGGGCTGCTCTTTCTTTACACAACAGCCAGATGAGAACTTTGATAAAACCAAACTCTGGTGGGTTTTAAATTGTGACACAACAGACTACCCAGTTTCCCCCTGAGGATCAGCTGCCTGATTCGAACCCCTGACCTTTGATTTAATACCACCAGGGGTCCTTAGTCTCTAGTGCTTTTGCTAAGAACAGATCAGTAAATGGATAGATTGGTGTTTAGAAACAGGAGCTTCACTTTGGTTTTCTCCAGGGAACTCCAGTGACCTTGTAGGTAAGGAATTGGACTGCCAACCCAAAGGCAAGCAGTTCAAATCCACCACTTTCCCCCGGGGTTGGGGGCAGATAGGCAGTCTCAATTTACAGTCTCTGAAAACCCGCTGGAGGGTGAGCTGATTCCATTCTGACAGCACTGAGCTTGGTTTTCTCTGAAGTAAATGTTCAGAAAGCATTTGGTGTTTCATTATGTAATGCTTTTGATTTTTCTCCTTGATTTTGTTTTTTAAAGGAAAACATAATGGATTATTAAGATTTTTTTTTAATGTAAGGACTATTAAAATATGAAGAGTGAATTTGTTTTATTTGGAAGATTGCATTCTCAAGGCTGAAAACACATTGAAGGTGTTATTGTTTGTCTCTGGATCAGAGAATGTGGTCAAAGTCATAACCAATTTTTAACGGAGGAAGAGTATCCAGAACGTTTCCATAGCAGTGAGCTTCCCTTCCGCCTCTCAGCCCCTCTTTTTGGCATAGTGTTTCATTCTTGGTACTTTTTAAACATCTTTAGTATGGTGCGGG